AGAGTTCGACAGCCAATCGCAATTGAGCATCCTCCTCCGGACTCCAATTGCCCCTACGAATTGAGGGATCGAGCGTGCGATACCAACGGTTCTGACAAGAATTAGGCTGGGCGTCTTCAGAAACTGCCCTAGCAACTTTCAAAAGCCTGTCAACGACAGCGCATAATGGAAATGCAGGCAAGGATACCTAATGGCCAGCACTCAATACCATATTTCCGAACCGCTTCGACCAGCCGCCGATCGGATTCGGCATCCCATACGTGCGTCTTTCGTGCAATAGCATGACGCATGACGTCTATCGGAGTCCGCCGGGTCTTTAAAGTCCTTGAGCATTTGAACGTAAGTAGTTATGAGAAACCCGTACACCTAGCTGTTCAGCAATGGACACCCAGTCAATATCGCCTCCTTCATGACCTTCAACCAACGCCTTGGCAGCAGTAATTTCGGATGCGGGCCAAGGAGAGTGATTGAATCTGGGGTGACGGTCACCTAGCCAACGAATCTCGCACTCCCGAGCAGAACGTTGAGATATGGCTGAGGAGTCAGTAATGACCTAGCAGGGTGAACTGACAGTTGACACAGGAAAATGTAGAGGTAGCAACCTTTGCAGCAATGCGCTCCCAGTCTAGACCCCCTGTCGATTCAAGATCGCTCATAGAGTACTGCGACGTAAATGGGGGCTCTCCCCTGGAAAGTCGTTACAAAGACGCAACCAAGATACCATGGTTGCACAGACCTTCGTTGTGCCTCATATGCACGAAGTCTCCGATTTTCAAGGCGAACAGCTTCAGCCAAGCTTTCAAGTTCTTTGTGTTTCACTGAGGAGATAAGTTGACGAGGTTCAGTTAAGATGACTTGGGGCTCACTCGGGTGGTACTCAGTGAGGCTTAAGAATCGCTGGCGACGAACTGCGTCATCGTAAAATGGTGACTCCTAGCTATTTCTAAGCTTGTATAGTTTCGTCCATGAAGTGGTGTCCTCACCTGCGACAACAAATCTGCGGTAGACAAGAGGCCCATCGGCTTGGATGCACCGGCAACTTGAATGCAACCAGCTATATCGAGATGCGAGTCTTCTTCCTCGAATTCGGCGGCTTTCTAGAGAGTTAAAATGGGTTGATTGCCACCTTGTTTTCGCTACGAAAGACATACGAGAAACTTGTCAACCGCCTCGAGCTCGGATTCCAAACGTTCGGTGTAAACATTGAGCGCATATTGGTGGTCCTTGTTGAGTTGAACAGTAGACTGGATGATATCTTTGAGGCCGCCGTCGCCAGTCATCCCCAAGCTCAGGCAATGCACGTGACGCGTGATTCTCGCTGACACGCCCACACTTTGGCCTTACTACAGAGACCCACTATGGCGAATACCTCAGCTAAACGAATAGGTAGCTACAAGCGTCTTATTTCACGCGTATCTTCTATCTCATGTCTTCTTCGCTCACAGCATCCCAGAATGAGGTAGCCATCAGAAATATGTGTTATGGTCACCTCCTGGGCAACATCTTACCCCTGCTCATCAGAGTCCTGTTCCGATGGCAAGCACAGTCAAAGAAAGCCATCGTCCTTTACTGTTTGTCTTTAACACTCTCCCACTTTCTCTACCGACATTTGAAGACAATGGGGACACCAAAACGAGATTTGGCAGGTAACCTCGTGTCTCCTGGTGCTGATTTGAACCAACCGGGGATAACGGACTGGACTTTCGACGTCCTTTACATCACCTGTGAGTCCGCGTAAAACCGACATCGTATCCGCATTCACCGCTTCATTATCCATAGGGCTTGCGCAAGTAGGCTCTGCTATTTCGGGAGAGTGGTTCTGGTGGATTTATATCGTGGTACTGTCCTGCTTACTTCTTGCTTGCGATGGCCCCTTGACACGTATTCCTATAGATTCCCGCATTTGTTGTGTACAAATTATGGAACACGCTCATCTCGCCCCTGTTGCTCGGCCAGTCATCTTCTGTAGGCGAGGAAGAGCCGAAGGAGGGTTTGAGTAAGCGGCAAGAAAAGTTGAAGAAGCGTAGCGAGCGCGGTGATCCGAGAGTCAAACAGGTACCCAAGTGATGATGAGGAGCTGGCTCATCTATTCCGCATGTACCAAGGGTAGACAGGCAAATGAGTTGCGTGCAATTTACTATCTCGGATATGTCCCTAGAGTCATTGAGGTTCAGCGTAAGGAATGATTCTCGTGCGGAACATGCAAACAACGCGTAAACAACACGTGCTAGCCGCTTTGCTCTTGCTCAGCGCTCAGGGTTAGATCACCTCAATCCCCTTCGCTCCTCGATTAGAAGCACGTCCCAAGGTATTGTTAGCCCGTTTATCTTGGTGGTGTATGAAGAAAGTAACATCCTACCCATCTAGTTCTTCGACGAAAACACTCCTCATACGGCCAACTACATACCCTTTATCAACTCCTGTGTACGCATATATGCTGAGAATCTTGCCGGAACAACCGATGTCTCCCACGTCGAATACCTCGGAGCAAACCGTATACTCAGAGGATAACCCAGGAAAAGGCGAAGACAGCCCCGGCCAGGTGAGTCGTTCTGCAGGGAATGTCTTCGGCAAAGAATTTTTGGACCTCATGATATGAAGGCTTCCTCTGAATTGGTTGGACCCAATGATATACGTCACTCTTCGACGGGTTCCACAGAAGAGCGTACTCCAGACGCCGACAATGCGTCATTCACAAACCCATCTTCGCTTTTGACTTTATCTTCAGAAGTAATATGCCAGTGCTCTATCACACACATGACCCTAGATCCGAACCCTTCAATTGAAAAAATCGCGAAAGAAGACGACTGTAATTCAACACCCCAGGTGCGTCTGTAACCTTCGCTGTCTCTAGTATGCTAATGGACTCCTACTCGTAGAATATGATGTCCTCGGGCGCATCGCCTGATGTCGGTTTCACTGGAATGGCTCTCCCTCCATCAGAGCCGGTAGTTGAACTACCAGCTATGTCAAACGACTTGTCATCTCTACATTCAGGCAATGCTAAGAGCTCTCAAGAAAATTTTATTCACGTTGCTTCAGTGGATCTGTCTTGCAGTGGCGCTAGTTCTGGTGATCCTTTGGCGACACTACCCCCTACCGTCCTGGGCTATTCTTCATGCATGGCCACAGCGGCAAATGCGGAAACTGAGACTCAGGCTGATGCACCTAATAATGCTTCTGACAATGTTGACGTATTCTTGACTCATCATGTTGCTGACCCTGAACCCAAGTTGCACCCACTGGCAGGACCGACTGGTGCCATCCCTTCACTTGATTCTTCCGACTCAACGGATGTTCACGTTTCTTCAGCTGGCTCGGAGTCCCATCTAAATTCTCGCGAAGTTCAACCTTGTGCGCATATTCAGCCTCACGTTTGCGATGAGGAGACCGTCCTGGATTCGACACTTGGCGCTCTTAGTCCTTTGTCCCTTGTGGAAAGTCTAACTCGTAGTTCCTCCCCTTCGTTCCCTGTGCAGATCTCTTGCGCCTTCATGCACTTGACACCCCCTCCGTCCTCACCTCAAACAGATTGCAATTTGCCTGTAAGATCGATGTCTAGTCCAAGTTTTATCCTTCACGAGGACGAATCTTCGTTGTCACCTTCACCGCCTCTCCACACGACAAAAAGTACCAAACGTGCACAATATGACGAAAGTGATGAGGTACGCCCTCAGAAACAGTTCCGCAGTTGTATCTGATCAGATGATAGGATTCGACCTCTGTAACACCCGTAAAACGAATCGTAAGGGCTCTTCTATGATCTCGTGGTAGCCTCATCAAACCTGGAGTACAGCGAATGGACGAAACAATGTCTTCCCCTTTGCGGAATGCCCCTGCACCCAGTCGCTCAACTCTTGCGTTCGAAAAGCTGACCCGGAAGAAACTGGTCACACCATTCCGTCTGCCGTTGCTGATTAAAAAGCCATCGACACAACCCGCCACACCTATCGTTCCAGGGCAAGTTCCACAGAAGCGAATCGCTGGGGAGCTACGAGCGAAAACCAAAATAGTACCCACTGCGCAGGAAGCTCCTACATCCCCGAAAACTGTCAAATCGCTCGTTCGTTCTTCCAGGGCAGCAAGACAATTCAAATCCCCTCTTGCGAATGCTCTGGAGCGCAAATCACGGCCTGTAGTCCTCCCGAGTCAAGCTGTCAAGAATCTTGAGAACAAGATAGCCATCTTGAAACGTGCGATCAAAATTAAGCGCGATGGTGACGAGGGCCACTTGGAACGCCTTGCGAAGAAGTGGCGAGATGCTGGCAGGGAAGCTGCGCATGAATTGTGGGGTATCGTACGCGATCTGAGCCCCGAGGGAGGCGAGATTCGCGGAAACGACAAAGGATGGGGCTGGAATGATCAGGAAGAACGTGGCACTATCGGGGAAGATGGATTGGGCGAGGAGGAATCAAAGCAAGAGATTACTCTTGGGGTCATGCTCCGCAATCTTGGAATCGCGCCCGAGACTCTGGGATGGAACGACGAAGAAGAGGCTTTTGTCGACAATGACTGATACTGTATGGAATCAATTAATCAAATGCACGAATGTCCAGCTTTTTGCCATTATCTTATCTCGGGAGACAATCACGGACCGATTTGGTTAATACGCTGTGGTTGTCAGTCCACCTCTACCTCCAATGTCGCCAGATAGTATAGCTACTCTGTGACAATAAACACCCTGCATCAGTAAACTACCACTTACCTTTTTGGGCTCGTACGAGCCCATACGAGTAGAAAGCCAACAAGTGCGCAAGGAACCTAGGACTCAAAAAAAGTTGATTCACAAATTCATTTTCGAATAAAGCCCTCTTTATTTCAAAAAGTCGAAGAGTGAAAAAGCTAGTGGATATTTTACTGATGTGTCTGTGGTTATTGATGGAAGGGAACTTGTAGACCGTGACTTTCCTTTCAAAACACAGGAATGCTCAAGATGAGGTGTTTGAAACCTGTTGAGACTTGACTCGGAATCTCATTCGTCCCCTCTCTACTATGCATAAGACACCATAACTGAGTGGCTTGGTAACAGACAAGAAATCTGTTCCCTTTGAGAAAGCAGACAAAAAATCTGCACCTTGAAAGTGCAGGTTCGAATCCTGTTGGTGTTTGACTTCTTTTTGCTATTATCTTATCTCAGGAGATGATGACGGACCGGTTTGGTTAATGCGCTGTGATCAACAGGGACTTGTAGACAGCGGCTTTCCTGTTAATGTATTGACTGATCAACCACAGGAACACACAAGGTGAGGTGTTTGATATCTATTGTCATATCATTCATAGTACATCCCCTCTCCACAGGACACCATAACTAAGTGGTTTAGTAACAGAAAAGAAATCTGTTCCCTTCGAGAGAAAAGAGAAGGCAGACAAGAAATCTGCACCTTGAAAGTGCAAGTTCGAATCCTGCTGGTGTTTGACTTCTTTTTGCGTCATCTACAATAGAAGCCCTTATCTCGTGCCTAAGCACCAGTGGAAGAAAACAAGCCGTGAGCCAGGGTGAGGATGGATGGAAGTGATGGTGTTTATATCATAACATCTTTTCAATACTGCTCCGGTGATATTCCGCTCTCTTTCGAACAAAATGACATAGTACTCGTAAAATGGCGTACTCGACAGTTGTCAGACCATTCCCTAGCTCATACTAAGATCGAATTCTTATGACTAAATAAATCCTCTGGCTGAGTGAACGAATACTGGTTTTACGTCGTTGCCATCGGTGGTGTGCTCGCCGCCGTCTGAGCCGGAGGTGGATAGCCCTACCCATCCTCCTGAAGTTGTGCCACATAATCGGCGACAATGACGCGACCCCATGTTTATCCAGTGGTAAACTGGTCGCAAACGCAAACCATGGGAAAGATGGAAGACGCACAGAATTGAAGGCAATGTAAAGAGCGATGAGGACGTTGGGGTAAATCTTGACGTCCCTCTTAGTCTTCTTCCCGATTCTGGCCATTGTCATCCTTAGCAATCCAGTTGTTGTTTATGTCTGAGTTGCCAACCTTGTGGAAGAGCGAATAGATGAAAAACGCGCCGGTGGCGATGCTGAGCCAGAACCTTAAGTGCTAAGCTATAAGCAAGCCGCACAAGGAAATGTAAGAGCGGCAGTTGATGATGCGTCTGATCGACCTGAGAACAGATATGAGTGATCGTGTTGAGCGAAACTAGGTGGTACAAAGCAAGCGCACCCGAAGAGCGACATTACAGTGAGGCAAGGACGGCATATGAAAGGGATGAGATGACGAGGGCCCTGGTGGTTGGTCAGGTGTGATTGCTCTGCAAAATGTCAAGGACGTGGGTCTAAGAGAAGTAAGATGCCCAAGTATTTGACGTGTAGCGTCGTGCCAGCCGTCGGCCATGAGGATCGAACCGCCAAGAAGGAAGAATGTGCTCATGATGGGACGCGTCAAGCCGCACGGGAGTGCAGCAGCAGAATGTGTGAGAACGGGCTGTGATTTGCCATGCCCATAGCCTGAAGCCTAGTCACCACGGTGGCCTGTGGTGTGGTGCGTGGTTCAGAACTCCTCAAGTCTAACCATGCGTCTCCCCACTTTCCCATTCTATCCGTTCTTCAGGTCCGCTCAAGGCAACAGAACCCAAACAGAGCCTGGGATGACACGACGAACCGCCGCAGACTGCGCGACCTCGCTCAATGCAATAAACAAACCATTCTGGAACAGCATGGCGAAAGAGGACCTGTTCGATTCAACCGAGAGGTCAAAATAGAAGGCAGGTAGCCATGAACAGAGCGTTGAACTGAAGAGTGGATCAAAATAAAGGTGCTCAGAGCAAGCTGAGATCTGAAAAATTGGTAAAGCGACATTGGAATGAGGGCCGAACACGGAACGCCCTAGTAAAAGGCGAGGGCGTTGTCTGGTTGCACTGCCCTCTGTCGCTGTGAGATAAAGTTACCTGTAATGGGATGATGCACAGAACTTTGTATTTCGCCCGGATGGCGGGTGGGACGGCCGATGTGGTTAGTCAGTTAGACCCATAGCCTACTCGCAACGCAAACTATCATGACAGATGAGCCTTTTAGAAACCTAGTGTCTGACACACTCTACTCCTTATTCTCTTCGTCAAAGATTCATACGCCAATCGGGAGTCTTGAGCTACTGTCCACAGCGATAACTGCGGACCTTCGGCCAACCCAAGGTGAACAAACGACCCTGCCGATACCAAGATTTCGTCTCACGGACCGCTCCCGCTTCGAGTGCGCCATCGAAGCACTAGCAAAGCATTGGGACAGAGGTTCTATTTCCATCATCCGTGATGAGAGCGGCGTCACCGTGACCGATGTACATCTTGGGTCGAGTAACAGTGCAGAAGCTACCGCGTGCGTCATCGGGAAGCGGAAACGCGTGAAAGACGAGGACGCGGATTCCGCTGCCGGGAGCGGCGACGAAGCAGAGGACGCGTATGAAGAAGAGGTGCAGAAACCGTGCACGACGCTTGCAAATTTATCAAAGGAGCTGAAGGAGGTATACACGTTCTTACAAAGGAGCACGGCCAAGGGTCGTCTGCTGGCTGAGCAGGTCAGTGCTTTATTATGACTTCACGCCCTTCTATATCTTATTTTATCTACAAGTTTCGTACTGTCAAGCCTTCGTTTGAACCGATATGTGAGCAAGTGACAAAGGACGAGTGTATCAGGGTACGCTCCGCCCTTCCGACCCCTCTCACTGGAATATGCGATCGCGTCCACTTTCGCCCTCTCATCCGTCCACATACGGACCCTGCGCTGGGACACTGCTCCTATCTCAACACTTGCTACTCCGAACCGACTTATGCACAGTCCCCTTCTATCCCTCCGATGCCCTCCATGCAGGCTCAGTTGACCTCGCAATGGCCCAAGGCGCAACTACCGTCTGGATTGGGTGCGGGAGGCAGAGGCAAAGAGAAAGCACCCTGTCGATATCTACATTACGAGATTGACTGGGACGCGGGGGACGCTGGCGCTGAGGCAAAATGGGAGGACAGGCCAGTTAAGAAACCCCATAGGCTTGCCCTTGGACTTGGCCCCAAAGCTGCATTTGAGCCACCGGTCAGTTTGGTTCGGCACCGACGATACATTTGTCTCAGATAACACCTTCATCAGCTTCCTCCGCAGTGGATCAACTGTGACGTCCGAAGGTTTGATTATTCCGTCCTTGGCAAATTTCACGTTATCATGGCTGATCCTCCGTGGGACATCCACATGAGTGTATGTTGCCTCTTTCCTCTTCCAAATAGCGTTCGAACTAGACGCACGAGATAGCTGCCGTACGGAACGATGACTGATGATGAGATGCGCGCGATGCCCATACCGATGTTACAAGACGAGGGGCTTCTCTTCCTGTGGGTCACCGGTCGCGCGATGGAAATCGGTCGAGAATGCCTTCGCGTGTGGGGCTATACGCGCGTCGACGAAGTAGTATGGGTAAAGACCAATCAGGTCTGCCTTTTCTCCTCGGCCTTTGACTATCGCTGAACACCTCACCCACCACGTCAACAGCTCCAGCGCGTCATTCGCACGGGGAGAACGGGCCATTGGCTCAACCACACGAAAGAACACATGCTTGTTGGTTTGAAGACCAACTATGACAGCAATGGGACCCTCAAGTTCCCATCATGGGTTAATCGCGGCTTGGATACAGATGTCATCGTATCGGAAGTGCGCGAGACGAGTCGCAAGCCCGATGAGGCGTATGGTCTCATCGAGCGAATGTGCCCCGGGGGACGCAAGATCGAAATTTTCGGTCGGAAACATAACACGCGGCCCGGGTAGGTTATCCCCCACAAATCGGGGCGGCAATGCTGACCTGCCGAAAATGATAGATGGCTGACCTTAGGGAATCAGTTGGGCGGTGATCAGATATATGAGGAAGATCTGGCCACAAGGATCAAAGCCAGGTGCGTCCTTCTCCTCGCTTGCATGGGCAGGACCCTGATCTCTACTCAGGTATCCTGAGCGTGTTATCGATTCTCCCTACTTCACACCACAAAGTCACCCCGTTGCATCATATTGACACTCCTCACCTAGGCCGGGTATCCACAGCGTTTAATTACGGATTATTGTACAGCAGTTTTGCCGAAGATGTTCACGTCGTTTATTGCCTGTATCATTACTTCTAGGTTCTGGGTATCGACTCAAAAACGCAGCTGGTCAATACTAGCACCGTTTACCCCCATGACGAGTATATCATAGTCAAGTTATACTTAGGTTATTTCACTTTTCGGCCGCTTCCAAGGTTGAACATCTGTGGCGTTTCCAACAGTCGCGATAATGTACTCGGCGAAAATGACTGTGCTTACCTTCATCTGACCCTCGTTCCGGTTTGATCCTTTTGAATGAAGGGAAATGCTCTAAAAATATTATGGGGGATTTGTCTTAGCGCAAAACTTTAGCTCCGCCTACCTCTCGGAACGAAGTCAATCGACTCCACAGTTCCTCGTGACTGAGTTGGATGGGGTGGTGCCATGGGTTGAGAGGTGGAAGGCTCTTGTTTGACAGGAGGAGCTGGAAAATAAGGTAAAGGACTCGCAAAGGCAAGAATCCCGTACACAAAGGGCCATCGATGCATACCCGGATCACTACGCTTTCGCTGGTTTGATTGGTAGCGAAAGTACTCATCCCAAAGTGCTTGGGAAGGCTCGGCAACAGATGTCAGTGATTGATCCTGTTTGACACGCAGCGGCGGCGGCGCATATCAGTTTACGACTTGTCAACCGCGCAGTAAGAAGAGGAAAAACTTGCCTCTGATCCCCCAGAACGGCCGACTTCAGGGTTCGGAGCGTTGTAGGTCTCGCTACGGAACGGCGTCGGATCAGAGTTGCTGGGCTCGTGTTTGACTTGGGTGACAGGTTCCTGTTTGACACGTACGCTCGCTGTGAAAGGGGGCAACGTCATACACGGGCGGTATTGGGTAGCACAGATGAATGCGTGTACCTTGGGGCCGGCTAGCGTTCAGCAGCGCTATCTGATCTCTCAGTTCCTGAGCCGGCTCATAGGCCGCTAGTAACCTTAAATTGTGAATGGTACTATGTGTTAGGAGTATCACTTACCAGGCTCTCCTGATGCGATCGATGAATCCACGTCGCCAAAAGGATCGACCTTTACGCGGCCTGGTGC